GTTTGGTCAATACAGTAAGTCTAACCATTCATTCTCTATACAAATGAGTTTATTTGTTAGGTTAGGGTTATTGAAATATAATCTACATACAGCAACATGTGCTTTTTAGGTGCACAGGACTGAGTTTTGACCAATGTTTTCAATCATGAAACCACTTTCATAATCAAGATGTAGATTATTTCCATCACCCTCAAAATTCCCTTGTGCCTCTTGGAGCCCCCCATCCCAACCCCTGGCAGCCACTGCCCTGGTTTCTGCCCCTTTTGCCTTTTTCAGAGGGTCATGCACATGGAATTGTATGGAAGTAACCTTTCATGACTGGTTCCTTTTACTCAGCCCAATGTTTTGGGGTGTCCCTGTGTCACTGAGCTCAGTGGCCATGCCTTTGTTTTACTGAGTAGCCATTCATAGTGTGAGGTCCCCTTTACTTGTTTGTCCCCCCAGGAGGGGAGAGAGCTACTGTGCTGCACTGACTGCCTGCCTGGCCCCCACTTCATACTTCTACCTTCTGTGACCCCGCATCCTCTCACTGCGGTCTGCGTGTCCAGGGAGGACCAGTAAGAGGGAAAGAGCTCGCAAAGGAAAGGGAGCAAGAGCATGAACATCATCTTGACTGACACACTGTGCCGGGCGTGACCCAGCATGACAGTGAGGAGGTGACCAGTGACAGAACCTAAGATAGATGTGAGCAAAGCAGGACCTGATGGGAAGGATTTCCCTGAAAAGGAGAGGAACCAGGGCAGCTCCAGGTGTCCCATAGCAGAATCTGATGGACCATTTTATTGGGCACCAGAAAAAAGTCAACTCAACTCATGCTTGGTCCTAGAATCTGTCTGTCCTAGGTTCAGAGTCTTGGGGAAGAGAAGGCCTGCCTAGCCAGCCTGGGGCTAAGGAAGTCAACGTGCAGAATGACATACACAGGGAGAGGTGGCTCCTCCTCAAGAAGTCGGGGTGCTGGGACAAGGAGAAGGGATGGCAGATACAAATGTTCACTCCTCCAGAAAAATATAAGCTCCCCCAAAGGAAGGTGGCTCTACCTGCAAGGTCATGTAACCCTTACCATTTACGCTTTCCTTAGGCCTGAGACTGTATCTGGAATGCACTTTATTAAATAGAAATTTCACTATTTGGGGTGGTGTTTGTAGGGCTATTCTCTAGTTTCCAGATATGCCCTCCTTTAGTGACCCACATTTACTTTATTTTAGTATTTAATGTTAGTATTTTCATGTTACATTTGTAGACACACACATGCACACATTCATTTCCTTGGCTTGAGTCCCTTGGTGCTAATTACATTTTTAGGTTGTATTGACTCTACTACCCTGAGACTTGCCTTGGTATTATTGGACTTTGTTCATAAATAAACAGACGAGGGTGTAATCTGGGCCTCTTATCCCAGGGTTTGAGCACTGGCCTGGGAGCCATCATTGGAGTTAGGGAAGTGTCCTGGATGTCTGGCTTATGATGAAGCCCTATTGAAAACAATCCGACCTCTCTCAGCCTCAATTTCCTGACAATGAAATAAGCATGTATTTTACACCTAATTCTGTAAGCTAGGATTTTGTACAAAATGTAAGTTGTCAAGAGCATACTGGGGGAAAATGTTATTTGAAAGTACATGTTATGATCCTTTAGAATGACACGTTGCATATGTTCATTGCACCCTAATGGTTTCAAATATGTTTTGTGGTGTCCATGAATATTTTATTTATATTGAATAATGAAATCTGTCCCTGAAATACACATTTGATTACAAGTTGACTGAATTTAGGGGAAAGAAAAAGCATCCATTTGCATGAGTTCCATGGCTGTGCTCTGTGAACAGAGATGTGTGACCATGTTCTATCTCAAGCCCCTAGTCGCAGTGTGGCATAGAGAGGTGACCTGCTTCCTGAGTCACCCAGGAAGAGAGCCAGAACCAGAATTTAGGCTCCAGTATGTTGGGGTTTTTACTTGGAGTTCTTTCTTGAATGGACCACTTCCATGATTTAGAGTATTACCAGACCTTTACCTACAGTGAGAATAGCTGGCCAAAGGTGGCAAAGAATTTCTGCCTTTTCCATTAATGGTTAGAAGTTGGTGATCAGAAAAAACAAATACATGTCAGGGATGTTGAATATGTATATTATTTTGGGCTTCAAACAGATGTGATAAAAAAGCTCAGTTATGGCAAGTTTTCTAAGTTAAACTTTTCCTGAAAAGAGCAGCAAAGAGGGTCCAGCAGTGGCAAGGGAAATGTTGTATTATATTAATGTTTATATTTGGCTGTAGCTCACCAACAATGAAAGTTAATGCAGTTCTCTCTTCCAGTCTGTGTATAAGTTGGCAAATGACAGGAACAACATTTGCTTCTAATCACGCATCCATCTTAATAATGCCAAACAGATACAGTGCAGAAATGATTGCACAACAACCAGCATTTTTTTTTTTTTACATCAGAATCTTTATTAATTTGAAAGAGGACCTCGAATCCGGGGTAAGTTACATTTTTATGTTTTAGATCATGATTTTAGAAGACAGTTATTAGGCCCATTTGCTGACAACATTAAGAATTAACAAATTATGTTGTTAAAGCATAAAAGTTTAATGGCTTCATTAGATAACTATAAAGTCTGTTACTTAAGAGAGAAATACTGTGGTGTTTGAAATCAGGAAATATTTACTGAAGGACTCTTTGGGGTCCAATTTCTAGAACCAAGGCAAAGCTCACCTATTATGATCTAAATAATTAAAAAAATAATAAAACAGAGGAGCAATATCTTTGTATGTTTGATGCCAACAAAGTTCCTTAAAATCTAAGAAAGTTGTCAGCCATGTGGGTGCTTTGAGTTGGCATTTTTAAAAGATAAAAATGAAAGTCAAATTATTATAAGAAGTTTTAGTCTCTTTTCAATGTGGGAAAAGGGGGCATTTTTGTTTTGAGTCTGGCGTGGGAAAACAGGAGCCATGGGAGTCAGGGAGTGCCTACTTCTTAGTGCGTGTCACCAGAGAGCAGGGGCTGCTGAGTCTTACCCAGTCCTCTAGCAGACCCGTCCTTTCAGTACAGACTTCTTCCTGCTGTCCTTGGAAGGGTAGGCTGTGCTCTGAGAAGTGGTGCTCAATTCCACTGTGGGAGCACGAGCACTGCCTAATGCACTGAGGCTGAAAGGTCTAAGACACCCCACATGCAGCTCTCTCAGATGAGGGGCAGACATGGCCTCTTCTAGAAAAGGACAATTATGGAAGAAGCGGGGAGGGAAAAAGTTCTTACCAGTTTGGTAAATCTGCCTACCATTGTAATAAAAGTGAATTGAGACAATTATCTGAATAACTGAACTAAAGTCTCACCAAAATATGTTTTGGTCTGAATTATCCAACTAATTGTTTTTTAGTGCAAAGAATTATGAACTGGGAGTTGGGATCTTGGTTTCCACCTGGGGTGTCACAAAGGAATGTTTAAGCTCCTCTATGAGACCAGGGTCTATCCAAGAGTCAGTGAATTGACTTTGTATTTTGTATGTAAACACACATTCCCTGAGGCAGGAAAATGTCAAGTTTGTGAAGTTGTGCACTAGTGGAAGCAGAGTGGGCATAGGTAATTCTCCTCAGGCATGCTTCCAGCCCAGGGTCAACCCTGGGAAGAAGCCCCTACAGTGACCCATCTTTATTGGCTGAGGATAAGACTCTCTGATCTCTCTCCTCCCTCTCTCTTCTCTCTCTCTCTCTCTTTCTCCCTTGCTTCCTTCCTTTCTTAAGGATCTGGCTCCAAACCTTAATTAGGTTGGTTATCCAGATGCTAAGGGACTGGAAGTAAGCCAGGCAGAGGGTGAAGTTGTCACTGACCTGGCTCACTCATGGGCAGCAGAGCTGGGGCCCACAACCAGGGCGCATCCACCACCCAGCTTCCACGTTTATAGAAATTGGCTTCTATGCTAGAAAGGGGCGTTAGGCTGATCAGAATGCTGTGTGTTGCTAACCAGAGAAGTGTTCAGCTCCCAAAGGCAGCGACCTTGACCCCTGGTGGTGGGAAAGGTCTACAGGGTCTGGAGTAGGTCCCAGACACTGAAGTGATGGCTCACCTGGGCGGCGTCGCGCGCTTGCCCAGTTCTCTTCTCCCACTTGTTCAACGTGGCCAGGAAGGGTCTTCTAGGCCGCTAGGGAGTGAGGGAAAACGGGACTGTCAAGCGCCAATGCGGGAGCTAGAAATGGGGTTCTCAACCCACACCCCTGGCTCCAGGCAAGCCTTAACAAGGGCGTTTGCCAAACTAAGAGACCCTTCCCTCAACTCCGCAGTTCTGCGACCCCCGCTGCCGCAGCTTGGGAGGGGCGAGCTGCGGCGAGGAGCCCGTGGGCTGTGGGCAGGGCGGGCTGTGTGAGGGGCTGGGCTGGGCTGGGAGAGGGGCAGGCCCTGTCCTTGGCCCACCCGCCTGACGCGCGGAGCCCCGAGTGTGCTCTGGCGCCACCAAGGAATCCAGTTGCCTGGGCGGGTGCCAGAAGGAAAGGTCGTGGCGGGGTCGCATCGCCTGGCTGCGGCGGGGGCCCGGTCCTGCAAGAGTGACCGAACCTCATCGCTGAAAGCCCGGGTCTCGGTCGCGGTGTGCGGAAAGGGTGCGTCGCTGGAACTCAAAGCACGCCTGCTCCTTTCTGCTTCTCCTGAAGAAAACCGGGGCTCGCGCGGCTCCCTCGGATCTGGGCCCTCTCCGCCCAGCAGGTAGAGGCCGAAACTGCTGGGGCCAGGGGTGTGAAGGCGGGTGGGGAGGCGTGGACAGAGCCGGGAGCCTCTTCGTCCCCACCCCACGTGATTGTCATTTGGGTCGTGGGGGCAGGAACTTGGTCAGGGAGCACCAAACAGGGGCGCAAAGGTCACGCGACCCCGACACTCTCTAGAAAACCTTACAGTACCCGAGGGTCAGAAGCTGAGAAGGGGACCGCAGTCCAGCTGGCTCAGGCTCTGGAGTAATCTTTAGGAAGGAAGGAGTTTTTTCAAGGGAGGAGAGAACAGCTGTGATTTTAAAAACATCTTTTTTTTTTTTTTTTTGCATTGCTTTACAACACAAATTAGTGGTGATTTAAAGTCTCCATTTTCAGAGCTATCGTGTACACTGTAAAAATGAGAATCTTGGCTTTACAAAACTGGTATCAAAGGCAGCACCCTGCCTCTGGAGACAAGGCAGCAGTGGGAGGGAAAGGGTTGGTGGAATCAGAGATGGGAAGCAGCTGAAGTCGCTGACTCCCCACTCACCTTTAATCTTAAGAGTGTGTTTTCAAGAGAAAAGCAAAGAATTGATCATGAGTCCTGATCGTTTCAACCCAGTTAACTCATTGACTCTCCTCCTTCCCCCAGTCTGTTTCAGTTTTATTTTCAGGTCTAATTATTAGCCTTGTGGTAGCAAATCTCCACTTAAATGACTACCTTTTGTCATAATTCAACCCCATTATTATCACTCTTTATGATATTAAGTAGGTAGAAGGAAAATCAGTCAAACTTGTTAACTAGACTTAGGGATGGGCTTTCCCCTCCCATTCCTGCCAAAAGATAGCATCCTCAAATACCCCCCTCCCCCCCCACACACACCTCACAATATGTTGTTTACAAACTATCCTCTTGGATGAGATGAGATCTGCCCAAGAACATCAAGTGGGGCCTGCATTTCCAGTCTCTGAATTTCTGTGTTTGTATTACTCTTTAGAACATTGCAATCTATAACTTGTGAGAATCCCACTGCCTTTGAATTTATTGAGAAACGGATGTTCACACTTTTATGGTACTTCCTCTGGTCAAATCTCCCATTTTTAATATGGGAAACTGTCCCTACCCCATCTGAAGTGGCACTTTCTCTTCAGATCACCAGGGAAGAGGCCTGGAAGCCCCACATCTACAGATGCTCTCTTTATACAAAAGGGGAGACTAAAAAAAATACTACTAATGGGTTCACACCCAAATGGGCTTTTTGCATACTACAAAGGTAGGTTTTGTTTTGGAAACAAAACAAACAAAAAACATTGACATTCAAATTACTCTTAAAACTGCCCTAAGGAAATCTTGGGTGATTAAGATAATCACATGCCAAGAATGTTTCCAGCTTTTTGAGCCCCAATCAGGACCAATTTGCCTGAAAATGTCTGCTTGTCTATAAGCTTGTTGATAATGTCTGCCAGACGATTTTTGGGGCCCACACCTTATAATTTGTTCCATAATTCTTAGGAGAATTCTTACAGAGATCATTGGTTTTAAGTTTTAATAAATCTCACTGTTAGAAGTCCCATCCTGGAGATTTGTACAGCAATCTGTCAGGTAAGAAAGACTGCAGACTGCCTCTCCTTTTACTGAATCATTCAGGAAAATATTTTGACCCCCACAGGAAGTTTCTTCAGACTCAAACCTAAACCCACTTGGAAAGAGAGGGGATAAAAACTCTCCACCTCCAGCCCATCACCACAAAGTGCTAAAGTCAGTTGTGAGTTTTATTTAAAAATAAGCCCTATGCCTGGTTTTCATAAACTTTATACACGAATATGTACACAGATACAAATAAAATAATAAAAATAAAAATCACACTTGCTTTCACGTGGCAGTGGTCCTGGCACTCTACATACATAACATCAACTTTTGCTTTAAAGAAATTGCTTGGCCCAGGGAGACCACAGTGAGCGATCACCAAACCATTAATAAAGCTGTAGCTTGTTGCCTGCAACTTTCTTAATCCAGATTTTAAAAATATATAAATAATTTAATTATAAAACCCAACAATATACATGTTTTTAATCTTTTTGGCACAGTGAAGCATTGGTCAATAGCAGAGAAATGACTGAAGATTCAGACACCTCTCTCACATTCAGTCACATACGTACACATGGAACAGGGGCCCAATAAACCCCAAGCAGTAGTCATATCATTTATCTTACGGAATGGTTCCCTGATGTGCTTTTTTCTTTTTCTTTTGTTAGGAACAAATCAATGGAAGGTACAATGGAAATGGTAGGAATGAGGGAGTGCCTGGGCAATAAGAAGAGAGGAAGTCGGCGAAAGAAGAGAGACACAGGCTTGGTAAAGAAACTCAAACAACTATGAAATATTGCTTTGGTCCTCTGTAAAGTTATAAAAGAGGAAGGAAATATTCTGGACTAAGTTAAAACAGTTCTGTCAAAAACCCTTTAGCGGTAAGGCACGTTTGATGGAGAATTTTCTTTTAAAGCTCCTTTTCTCTGGACAGAAAGTGCAAAGCCCTGAACGTGCCATACCGGCGTCTCCTAGGGTGCCCACCCCCGGCGCGGGGCTCAGCCAGGCAGCTCAGGACAGGAGCGTCTCCACTTGGTAGGGCAGGTGCGCGCCCTGGCCTCGGGAGGAGGCCGCCTGCAGGGCCGTGGGCAGCCGCAGGGGGCAGTACAAGTGAGCGCCACCCCCGTCACCGCCAGCCGCAGGGCCTTGGAAGGGTTTGACCGGGGCGGACGAGGAGAAGGGCGCGAGCAGGAGGTGCGGCGCGGGCGGCTGCGCCTCGGATCCGCGCGCGCCCAGCAGCGCAGGCTCAGCCGCTCTGTACGCGCAGAGCGGCAGGAGGGCCCCGCCGGGCGCGCGGGGGAGGAGCGCGGGATATGCGGAGAGCGGCGGGCAGGGCGCAGCGCCCCACTGCAGCCGCACCCCGGGGGCCGTGTCCCCGTCGCGCCGGCCGCGGAAGGGCTTGCTGAGGATGCTGTCTATAGCGAAGGAGCTGGAGAATTTGCCCGTGGGGCTGGCGCGCCCCTCCTGGCGGGCGGAGGAGCGAGCGCAGGGCGAGCCCAGGGCGGCGGGCGCGGGCGCAGGAGCGGGCAGCAGGGCGGTGGTCTCCTCCGGCCGCAGCCCGGGTGCGGGGACCGGTGCCCGATGACTGAGGCGCTTGCGGCGGCGACGGAAGACACCGTCGGCGAAGGTGTACTCGCTGTTGGGGTTGAGCATCCAGTAGTTATCCTTGCCCCAAGGCCGCGAGGGGTCGCGCAGCACCTTGACGAAGCAGTCGTTGAGCGAAAGGTTGTGGCGCACCGAGTTGCGCCAGCCCGTGTAGCTGCCGCGGAAGAAGGGGAACTTGCCCATGAGGTACTCGTTGATCTCAGCCAGCGTCAGGCGCCCGCCCGCCGAGTCGCGGATGGCCATGGCTATGAGCGCGATATACGAGTACGGGGGCTTGGGCCGCCGCGTGTACGGCTTGCTTCGCCCGCCCTCACCGACCCCTGCGCTCTCGGCCCCGGGCCCTGCGGCGCCCTCCTCTGCGACCCCCGCCGCAACCGAGCCCTCCTCCTCGGCGGCAGTCGCACCTCTCGCATTCCGCTTACCGCCGCTTACCGCTGCTGGGCTGTTGGCGGCACAGTCCCCGTCCGACCCCAGGGAGTCGTCGCCGGCTGCGGACAGCGGAGAGGGCGCGTCGCTACCTCCTCTGCCCTCTAGGTCACTACCCGGCTTGATCTCGTGGGCCGCACGGGGGCTGAACACCTCCGACTCCATGCCCACGCACCCTGTCCTGGCTCGGCGCCGTGCTCTTTTCCTTTGCGCGGTCTTGGGAAGCTGGTGCGGGGGGCGGGGTGGCGACCTCAAGTCCAGGAGTCCTCGCCTTTCTCTCCCAGAGAGCTCTCCCTCCTCTTGTGAGAGACAGTCACTTTTCCGTAGAAGAGTCCAGTTCCACCGGAATGTTTCCTTGGAGGGGCTGTGCTTATTGGGTGAACTAAGAGGGGCGAAGACGGAGGAGTTGGGTAGGCGCTGTCTTCAGTTCGAGGATAAGAGACTTCAGGGTGAATGTGTGCAAGGGTGCGGCTTTAACTTCTGCTGCCCAGCCATAAGGGCCATGGGATTTCCTGCTGGAGGGAAGAAGCGTAGGCATCTGCTCTCTGACCCGGAGGGTTTCTTCACTGGACGTCGCAGGTCCCAGGCAGGCGTCCACGGGGCACGGAAATGCGTGCCACCCTTGGGGAGGGTCTGGTGTCTTCAGCCCTGAGCGCCCACGGAGACGAGTCCCTGAGGCTGTGGCTCCCGCAGCCGCCTTTCCGCCCTCGGCCTCCAGAGAAGCATCTCCACGCTGGCCCGCAGCCCCTACGTCTGGCCTCCACCTTCCGCTGGGCCCAATATAACCCTGCGGAGGCGGGGCCTGGGCACGGACGACAGAGGGTGGGGGAATGGGGTGGCTTAGGTGGCTGTGGCTCCCGGGCGGGCCGCACCAGGTTGAGGCTACGAGGCGGCGCAGCGTAAAAGTCGCTGCGCGCAGGTTGTTGTTTTGGGTCTGGCCAGCCCCGCCCTCTGCTTCCAGCCAATGGGAGCGTGCGCGGGGCTGGGAGTGTGCGAGTGTCTGTGACTGTGCGGGTGTCCGTGTGTGCCAGCCCCGCGGCCCGTGCTGGGTTCAGGTGGGAGCGCCCCGCCGCCCGGAGGGGTCTCTGTGCCCCGGAGCCCAAGGAAGCGATTTGGGCGAGAGGTCACAGGGGACGGGACGGGGGAGGGCCCTAGAAGGGCTGGGCCGAGTCAGCAGGGACTTGGCTCAGGCTTGTGGCCTTCCTAAAGGTGTACGTGGTATACGTTTGCGTCTCTTGGTGGTGAAAACAGTGCTTCTTTCTAAAGTAAATGCCTCATGCCCCTGAGGAGGTGCTGAACTTAGAGACCTCACTGGGCGCGCTTTGCAGTGACCTCTAACGGGAGCCACACGCTGTGCCCTGTCCTGTGATTTCATTTTGAGGACCATTTTTGTCTTTTTTCCTTGTTTAATGAATAAAATACTGGACTTGAAATTGTATAAGCCTTTTCGGATGAACTTGACTCTTGTTTGCTAAATGGTCTCCGACTTTCACTTTTCTTTGCCTTTACCTGTTTCTGCACCTGGCTGGTGGCTCTTGGGGAAAGCAACTGTGTCTAGAATGTCCAGGCTCTGCCTGTGCGCGTCCCCCTCTAGATTCCAGCCTCTGTATTCCTGGGTTCCTACAGACAACAGGAACGATTGGGAGGGCCTGTTCCCAGGTCGGGGACCCAAGGTATGACATGCTGATGGCCATTTCTTTCCAATCGTCTCCTTGGAGACTTTTGCTGTGGTTGCAGTGGCACGGTATAGGAGAATTGGGAAAGGGGGTACTTTCTTGGCCCCAGGAAGTTTGGCACCTGACACTTTGAGGTGTCAATACTTCAGGGATGGGCTCACTGACCCCCAGAAGGGTACATTTCTAACCCGCTGCCCTTCCACACTGAGGTTTCCTCCTTTTTCCTGTCTTTGTTGCAAATAGAGAAAGAACTGTGAGTACGTGGGAGCTCACCTTTGATGTTTGTTTTATTACCTTCCACCATTTGTGTGATGTACACAATCCTCTCTTATCTACATGAAGGCAGTTTTAAAGGCATTCAGCATGGGGTAGGCAAAATGAGAGGCCCATCGAAGTCTCTGTTATTTTTGTGTTTGGGAGAAATGACACGTTTTGGATATTAAACTCACATTGTGTGTTCGAATAGGGAGCTGGTGAGGGATGGCTCTTTTCCAGGGGACGTGCTACCCTAAAGAGATCTGCTCCTCTCTGGCCCTGGGAGTTCGTTGTCCCTTGGACCTGGAGAGGGGAGTAAGCTGGGACAAGAAAGCAGCGAGGCAAACAGGCATGGGTTTGGCTAGGGGTAATAGGCGTGCATGATGAATGTCATCCTCCTTTGAACTCTGGAGGTTGACAGGACACAAGGACAGGACAAAGGCCCATTTTATGGAGGAGATAAGCCCACAGTTGATGTATGGACCCAAGTTGGCTAATCTAAGGAGACCTCTGAGAGATTACAGGACCAAGGTTTTCTGCCCATCACGAGTTCCATTTTGGAGACCACACAGGTGAGCTGTCCTGCAGGCATGAAGCCATCCAGCTAGCATCACACCCCTGCTCACACCTCCCTTTGTGTTTACAGCAACCTTCCTCCCAGACTTGCCAGCCACATGGCTTCCTTCACCCTGGGCAGCACCCTCCTATCTTCAACCCCACTTCCTTCCCAGATCCCCCACTCAGTTGCTCCAGGGTCCTCAGCTATTCTGGGAAGTTCCATGAGCTTTGGCCTGTTGATAGGGAGGAGAGAAAATTATGCACAACACTAGGCCACTCACATGACTACATGGCCTTGGGGCTGCTGCTTGTTGGCCTTTCATCACCCATGAGAAGAGGCCAATTGAATGGACTCAAAGTTTTCTTTCAGCTCCCGCACACTCCATTGTTTGGCACTAGTCTTTTCTTGGGTTGAATGTACAGCAAGTGCATTTCCCCCTCTGGTCACTTCTCTGGGCCATCTGGTGTGAACTCCCAGACTACAGCAGCACAGGATGCAGGTCTGGGGAGAGAGTAGATGGGTTGTTACTCTCGCTGGTGGGCAACCTGGGGTTCGCCGTTATATCCCTCAGCCTTTTCGCTCCTGCAGACAAAATGAGCAATGGTCACTGAGAAGGAAGGTATACTCCGCCCATCACACCTCACTTTTGCTTTTCTTACTCAGAGACCTCTCCGTCCCAATAGCAGCAACCTCTCCTTACCCTATTCCACATCTCAAGAAGGGCAAGGACCTGCCAATAACTCCTGTGGGATAGACCTTCACCTTGTCTCAGGGCTGAGCCACTGGTGGGCTGCTCTCTGTTGGTTTGGAGCCTATAAACGTCTGGGAGTAAGGGAGTGGGATAAAGTGGGAGAATTCTCATCAGGAAAACTTTTTCTATTTTCAGAGTGATTTAGGAAATGGATTTTTGGAAAGAAAGGCCCAAGTTGGAATGGCTGGCAGGGGACTCTAGAAAGGATCGAAAGATCCTCAAGAACTAGAATATAAGCTCCAGGAGGACACAAATTTTGTCTGTTTTCTTCACTGCTGTACCCCAGTCCTTGCTTCGAGAATGACCATCACATTGTGCCACACACTGGAAATATGCTGCATTTATCTTCAGTTAAGATCAGAAATAAAAATGCTCTTTCTTTTTGTGGTTGATTTTGTTGTTATTATCTTTAATTGTTGTTTTAAATCTGGGAAACCATTCACCTTTTCCAGATATAAGAAAAATAGGAATGGATGGGAAGTACATCCATTCACCCCACTCTATCCAGAACATCCTCCAAGCTAGGAACTGTTTAAGAGCTCAGTCACTATTGTTAGTTCATAAATTCTCTAGAAATGCTGGGAGATATCTGTCCCCTAATTCTCAATCCTTTGGATTAGAACTATCGATGAATTAATAATAAATGCCTATAGGTGGAGCCTGACCTAATTCCTTGTAGGTACAAAAGACCCATTAGTTCATTTTGCTCATTGGCCCTTAATTTTCATGGAAATAAGTGAATAAACTATGGCAAAGAATTAGTTCACATGTCCATGATTTCCTAGCCTCTCTGAAGTGGTTTTCAGCAAAGGAAGATAATGCATCCATCTCCAGACACCAAGAGCTAACTTAACTGTGGGGACTATTATAAATTTAAAACTTTCCATAATTTGCTGATGCTTCACCACCCAGTTCCTAAACGTTGATGTGGGAAGGAAACCATTTAATTCCTAACATATCTGAGATCACTTGTTAGATTGGAAGCTGAGCCCTAGTGGAAATATGGGTAACTTGCTCCATGCATTAGACGAACAGGCTTCTAGAATGAAAGGAACTTTGGAATCACCTTTATTCCCGGCCCGCCGCCCCCCACCCCCCACCCCTCCGCAACTTGGAAAAAGCTTTTGAGTTTCTTGCCATGTTAACCTCTACCAGTAACCATGCTGTTGCTGTCTGGGTCTGAAGGGAAGGTGAACTTAAAGTTGCCTTCCCATGAGGACCTGTACCTCTTGGAGAAGTCTGTTATAATGATGTTAAAAATGAGGAGACTAGGCACAGAGAACCTGCCAATGTTGAGAGCCCCAGGCAAAATGTATGGCTTTGAATCTATGCAAAGTCCCTCTTATAGAACAGAGAGTTGAAAGTAAAGAGCCTCTTCAAAGATAAAGCCCAGCTCCCTCTCTACACCTTCTTTCTTAGTGAAGAAATGTGGGAAGAAATGGAGTACTTTGTAGTGTGTTCTAACTCATAACTCCATAATCTGGCCCATTCCTTGTAGATGCTGAACACTTGGGAAGAGTCCTGCAGAGATTGAGGGTGAGTGTGGGAGCATATAGACAAAACCCTTTACATTTTTTTAAAGCTTTTTCTTTTCTTTTAATAAATATATTTTTTATTGATTTCAGAGCGGAAAGGAGAGGGAGAGAGAGAGAGAAACACCAATGATGAGAGAGAATCATTGATTGACTGCCTCCTGCACAACCCCCACTGGGGATCAAGCCCACAACCCAGGCGTGTGCCCTTGACTGGAATTGAACCGGGGACCCTTCAGTCCCCAGGCTGATGCTCTATCCATTGAGCCAAACCAGTTAGGGCAAAATCTAGGTCTTTTTATGTATCCATGTAATAGAATCTGGCTGGTGTGTTTGTGTGTTTGCTGCATTTGTTGGGGCAGTCTTCTTTTGTACTCTGGCCCCTGGTCAAGGTTTAATCAAAGAATCCCAAGATATGTCTGGGCATCATTGACCAGATGCAAATTCAAGGGCTGTATATAGTTTTTTTGAGAATCCAGGGGGTCACAGTCAGCATGAAACCCCTTGGACTTCTATTTAACTTAGGAGTTGTGCCACATGAATGCCACCTCTGGGGAGTGGGTCCTGGGAAGGAGGAGTGGCAGGGAGGCAGGCCTTCTGATGGTGCAGCAGAGAGAAAGCAGCTGCAGGCACGCTGAGGGAGGTGAAGGAGAGGAGAGTATGTGGAGATATGAAAGAGATCAGCCACAGCATGACAGGGGTTAGAGATCACAGAGAAAGCTGCCTGATTTTGTAATTCAGATATAAGATCCTGCACTGTGTGAAATGTTACCTGACAGCTCTGATACTAGGATCAGGGAGTCCATTCCTTTAAAGCTGACCACATCTGAGAAGCCTCCCTTGTTCAGTTTCCCTATTACATGTCAAAAGCAGAGCAAGAAATATTGAGCTTCCCTGTACAGTGAATTATCCAGTCCTCCCTTTTTAGCTTTGAGGCCATCACTTTCCATAATAAGTGAAAAATCAGATCCTCTCAAGTCCAGGAAAAGAGACGATCTGTCTTTCTATGAGGAGAGCTGGACTCATGACTCTTGGGTACTGCTCCATTGTCACACAAATCCAGGAGAGAATGGGGCAGGTGGTGAAGGAGATCGAGTGTCTCCTTGGCTATACA